CCTGTAAGACATAAAATTGAATGAGTTTTCAACCTTTAAAAAATATTTTCATTTCATTTCAGAATACATTGTTCCTTGCAGAAAGACTAATTGTTTTTGCTACTAACACTGACATGTTGGCACATGCATCTCTAATCTGTATGTATCTGATTATTACTAGTCATAATCAGTTACATTTGGATCCTTGGCGCCTGTGTATGTCTATAAAGTCATCAGGCAGATTTCAATCGTATTATCACCTCTAGTAATTAGCATGATGTAAATTTCTATGCTTCCTCCTCAAATATAATACATTTTTTAAAAATTTGATTTTGTGTGTGTGTGTATATCACACAGAACATCGCAAACCATCTCATTCAACTATACACCAACTTCCCAGACAGCACCCTTGCATAGCCTCCCTCCCCCAACTAGAGTCCTTATACTCTGATATCCCTGCTACTGTCTGCTGTGTTGTCGGCACCCCAGCCATTCACCATCTGGTGATAGGCCTCAATCTAGTCAGCCTATCTAGAGGTCTTTGTTTTAGGAAGGTCAGCTGTTCCTCATCTAGCAGCAATCAGTTGTTAATATTCCTTTAGATAAGATTGGGGTCTGCTGTTCATTTTCCCAGTTCTATGCTGGGTTACTATCTGGGAGTCTCTTGGGCCACCCTGGCCATCAAATCAAAAGAAGGTATCACCTCTCTGGCATTGTTGCTAGTTATGTAGCCTTTAGCTATGCATATGGACTCTTAAGAAATTATATTGGCCTCTTTAATCTTTGGTTATACTTTCCTTTTGGGTGTTTAAGGCCATACAGTTGGCCCAAATAAACCAATTTATTTTTACTCTTAAGGTCGTTTGAGGATATGTTCCTCAGGGGTCACATGGGCTTGGGAAGAGCCCCTGGCTCCTTTCTTTTACCAGTTCTGCCTATGTGAAGATAAGTCAAAGGCCCTACTCAACCATTGCTAGCATCACTTGAAACCATGGAGGAAATGATTCCTCTGTGTTGACCCTCCTCTTTGTAGACTGGACACTAGTTCAAGTCCATCTGGTGGGGTCTACTCAGCCTCCTTGATCAAGAGGACAGGTGACCCACCACAATTACAGACATTTTGAGAGATGCTTATAGTATAGGACATTTTGAGAGATGCTCATAGTACCCTGGAGCGAAAAGTGTCCTTTATGCCCCTCTGACCAAATTATTATAGGCCTCAAAGCATGTCTGTTAAACATCCAAGAAGGTTAGTTCCACCACTCTGGTACTTTTAATTACTGTATGTCACGTAGATAAATCTTGGGCAAAGACCAATTATTCTCAGACAAAACTTACCTAGAAATATATTTCTTGATCTGCTATGTATAATTTGTCAGTATTTGTAGGAGAAATATGGTTCCCTCTGGTTTTCAAAACTAGCTAGGCATTATTTATCTCTTGCATTGTCTCACCCCTCCATCATGATTTTCCCACTTAAGGGGCCCCCATTTCCCCTCTTTCTCCCTTAATAATACCTTTCTCCTGTGGTCCTACCTCTCTTGAGCTCCTTCTTTCCCTTTATTCCCTAGTATCCTTGTATAACCTTCCCTTCAACCTCAACTTAAAATAACCCCATTTTTATCCATATCTCCCTTACTAACACCTGTTTCCTACTCTTCTTCTCTTTTTGATTCTTTCTTTTCCTTTA